AAACCCTAACTCAAATTTCAGGTAGTTGACTTTTTTTTTTTGAGACGGAGTCTCACTCTGTCAGCCAGGCTGGAGTGCAGTGGCGTGATCTTGGCTCGCTGTAACCTCCACCTCCCAGATTCAAGCGATTCTCCTGCCTCAGCCTCCTGAGTAGCTAAGAATACAGGCTTATGCCACCACACCTGGCTAATTTTTGTATGTTTAGTAGATACGAGGTTTCACCATGTTGGTTAGGCTGGTCTAGAACTCCTGACCTGGTAATCCACCCGCCTCAGCCTCCCAAAGTGCTGGGATTACAGGTGTGAGCCACCACACCCGGCCAGTAGTTGACTTTTGATATTCTTTGTTAAGTGTACTTGAAAACCAGTCAGTTCCTTCCAAAGTTAACATGAAATGGAGGAAGGAAAAGCTACCAGGTAGGAGAAACTTAAAAGCTGATTTCACCTAACATGATGTCCTCAAGGTTCGTCCATGTTGTTCGTCCATATTGCAGAATTTCCTTTTTTAAGACTGACTGACACTTCATTGCATGTATAGACTGCATTTTGTTTGTCCATCTGTCAATGGCTATTTACGTGGTTCTCCTATCTTGGCTATTGTGAATAATGCTGTAACTGAACATGGACGCGCAGATGTCTCTTTGAGACTCTGGTTTCAATTCTTTTACATAAATATCTTGAAATAGGATTGTTGGATCATATGGTAGTTTTAGTTTTAATTTTGCGAGGAACCTCCATACTGTTTTCTCATAGCATCTAGACCATTTTGCGTTCTTGCCAACGGCATGCGGGGGTTTTCGTTTCTCTACGTTCTCGCAGGCAGTTAGCATGTTTTGTGTTTTTCGTAATAAACATCATGAGAGGTGTAAGGTGGTATCTGATTGTGGTTTTAATTTGTGTTTCTCTGATGATTAGTGATATTGGGCATCCTTTCATGCACCTGCTGGCCATTTGTATGTCTTCTTTAGAGAAATGTCCTCTCAAGACTTTGGCCCATTTTTAACTGGGTTGTTAGTTTTTTTGCTACTGAGTTGTAGGAGTTCCTTATATATTTAAAAACTTAACCCCTTACTTTATGCTAAATGGAAGAAGCTAGTCACAGAGGGAAAGAACTGCAGGACTCCACTTATATAAGACATCTAAAATAGTCAAATTCACAGAATCAAAGAGGGGGTTTGTATTGCCAGGGGCTGGGGGAGCAGGAAGTGGGAGCTGCTTATCGGTGGGCTCGGAGTTTCTGTGGAGCTGGTGAGAGCTCTGTAGGGCGCTGCAGCTGTAGTCAGCAATACTGTATTGTAAGCCTAAAAACTGCAGAGGGCGCTCTCTTGTTAACTGCTCTTACCACCATAAAATACCATTAAAGAAAATGAACCTCAAAAGTAAGAATTCATACTGAGTGAAAGTCCAGCCTGGGTAACAAGAGCAAAACTCCATCTCAAAAAAAAAAAACAAAAAACAAAAAACAGATGCTTTTGTGTATGCCAAGGATGAATATATTTTTAAAATCTTTTTCATTTGTGACATAATTTTTTAAAGCCAAATAAAGATTGCTTTCTCATGGACTTATATGTAAATAAACATTTCTGTTGCTCAACCAAAAGTAAAGTAGAAAGCTTAATAATTGTACTGAAAAAATAGAACCCACTTTATTCAACAAAGTGAGCATTAAGAATATAGCTAACCACCACACACTAGGATCTGTTGGGTGGGGGGGCTAAGGGAGGCATAGTGGGGGGCGGGGCGATTGGGGAGGGATAACACTGGGAGAAATACCCAATGTAGGTAACAGGCGGATGGAGGCAGCAAACCACCATGGCACGTGTGTACCGGTGCAACAGTCCTGCAGGATCTGCACGTGTACCCCAGGACTTAAAGTATAATTAAATAAATATTAATTTCGCCATCATAAAAAAAAGAAAATGTGATATATATGGATTTTTAAAACAAGAATATAGCTAAACTATTCTCACTGGCCAGAGTTGTCTGATAATTTCTTCATTCTTCCTTTAACCCTAATTGGGTGGATTCCTGGCAGTGAGGCAGGAGGACTGATCTAATGAGGGCGGCTTCTGAGGATCCTTTCCTGATGGGCCAGGAGTCCTGCCATTTTAGGATGGGTAGAAGAGTCTGGAGCTCTGCACAGGGATGAAGTCAGAGGAGAAGGAAGAGGGGTTCAGTCCGTCCTATGCATACAGGCTGTAGTGGAGCGCGTGAAGCCATGTATCTGCCGTCAGACAGACTTGGCCTTGCGTCCTAGGCTCACCCATGAGGCTGAATCTAAGGACAGGTGCCTTCTGCTGTTCTGCTGAGAGGTCCACCACCACGCCAGATCAACACATTTGTCATGGCTATGAGTTCGTCAGTACTTTTTGGCACTTTCTTCAGTATTAAACAGATAATCCGTTCAATAAACGTTTTTCCAAATGCTTGCTTTCCACCGCTTACTGCTGCCCTGAGAAAACTGGGTGAGTTGAAAGAGCCGGTGGGCCCCCAGTCGGGAGGGTCTGAGGTTGATAGAGGCCCGAACCAAGGGAAAATGTGGCCGTCTATACCTAGGTGGCGATGCGGACACTCTTTTCAGACGTGACCGTAGTTGGTCACTTGATCAATTAACCGAAAAACTGATTCAAGTGGAGAAATATCAAGACGTTATACTTAGGTGCCTTAGACATTTTCTTTTAACTTAAGCTATGAAAAACGTTAGGTTTTTTCCCACCAATTTTGTAATTGATTTTGTAATCGATTTTGTAATCTGGTAGGGTTTGGCTGTGTCCCCATCCGAATCTCATCCTGAATTGTAATCCCCAAATTCCGATGTGTTGAGGGAGGGACCTGGCGGGAGGTGATTGGATGTGCTTTCCCCCACACTGTTCTTGTGATAGTGAGGAGCTGTCACAAGCTCTGAGGGGTTTAGAAGCAGCTGGCATTTTCCCTGCTTGCACTCCTCTCTCCTGCTGCCATGTGAAGGCCCTTGCTTCCCCTTCACCTTCTGCCATGATTGCAAGTTTCCTGAGGCCTCACCACCAGAGCCATGAGTCCATTAAAACTCTTTTCTTTATAAATTGCCCAGTCTCAGGTAGTATCTTTATAGCAGTGTGAAAATGGACTAATATACCTTCCTCACACCAAACATGTCTATAATGAGAGTTTGAATCCAGTTTCATTTTGTGCACACATGTGTGTATACACGTAGAAAGGATTACAAAAGACTTTTGTGAAGCAGCCTGGGGGCAGATTTTTATGATTTATTCTTCATCATTTACAGTTATTTTGCCCACACCCAGTTGGACAGCAGTCTATCTTAGCTACTGGCTAAATCTGTTTTCATGAGAACAACGTGGCCTTTGTCCTTATATTTCATTGGTTAACTCAATGTGTAACCACATGTGTGAATTGAAATAACAAGTATCACTGGCATCAGTAGGTTTAAGAATAAATACAATTGGGCTGGGTGCAGTGGCTCACGCCTATAATCCCAGCACTTTGGGAGGCCGCGACGGGTGGATCACGAGGTCAAGAGATCGAGACCATCCTGGTCAACATGGTGAAACCCCGTCTCTACTAAAAATACAAAAACTAGCTGGGCATGGTGGCGCATGCCTGTAGTCCCAGCTACTCGAGAGGCTGAGGCAGGAGAATTGCTTGAACCCAGGAGACGGAGGTTGCGGTGAGCTGAGATCGCGCCTTTGCACTCCAGCCTGGGTAACAAGAGCAAAACTCTGTCTCAAAAAAAGAAAAGGATAAATACAATTGAAGGTTGGTAAGTCTACCCCCCTCTACTAATGGAGGCAGTTATGTGTGGGTGATCAGAGAAGGCCCCGCTGGCCCAAAGTTTAGAACACATGAGCTCCAGGCAGCGTATTCTCCAAAGGACATGGGTGACTTCAGCTGATCCAACTCCACATGGGAGCTGGACAGGGGAGGATCTCTCTAGGCAACAGGGCGTGGGGGTGGCATGCAGGCATGCAGAGGATAAGACAGGGTGAGCTTCTCTTGGGGAGACACTACCATGAGGCATCAGGTAGGGGAGGTAGGAGAGTTGATGGAAGACGGTCAGACATCTGTGAGCAAACTAGGAAAATGTGGCTCTAGAGCAGAATTTAGAAACCTCTTTAATTATCTCTGTGTTCATCTCTTCTTCCGAGCTGCCAGTGATCTGAGGTCTTCTCCTTATGGTCTGTTACCTGTCACTCGGAAAGCATCTCATATTTTTGAATGAATGAAAGTGCATTTTTTTGTTTGTCCACTGAGATTGTTGAAAGATAGTCATCCTTATACACATTAGGTCATAAGGAACTCGGGGCCAGCAGACTGTGGGCTACTAGATATTGTGTGCTCCGTGTCCTGGCTTACCCCAGCGAGGGCATGTGTATATGCTAACATCACTGTTCAGCTCACAGTGTGCGATCAACCCTCCAGGCCTGGACAGGCATCCCGGTATCTCTCAGGTATAGCTGAATAGGGAAGGTGACAGGTATGATCTTGTTAGACTCAGGTATAGTGATATGAAAGGCAGAAAAGCCATACTTTATAGTGAGTTTGAAGGCTTCGGTTCAGGATGTTCTATTAGTCAATATCTAGGAGCGTTCCCAGTGATTCCCCTTAGCACAGTGCTCTCTAAGGAACAGAAACACTTAAGCCATGAATATTGGAATGTTTAAGAAAACGAGTCTAACCATCAGAAGCTTAGAGTTTAAGAACTATCATGTCACAGTTTATTATCAGAGTTAACATACTTTGTTGATTTATTATTTAGTGAGTGCTATTAGTGTCTGTCATTTGCTCAATTTCTCTTCAATCATAAATAAGCAAATCCTCACCCTGTATTCCTCCAAAAACACAAGACTGTGGATCTGCTCTGTGAGAACCACTCTCACCTTAGTCAGTTTCTGTATTTAAGACTTGATGTATATTAGTCTGGTCTGCTAGCTCCGCTAGCACCTACACCTGGAAATGAGAAGCCTGTAACATAAGCGTTCCTCTCCCTTCCTTCTTGGACAGCTTGGGCATGAACCACGACGATGACCACTCATCCTGCACTGGCAAGCCCCACATCATGTCAGGAGAGTGGGTGAAAGGCCGGAACCCCAGTGACCTCTCCTGGTCCTCCTGCAGCCGAGACGACCTTGAACACTTTCTCAAGTAAGTCCCAGAATGATTCTTTAGGATTAGTGCGTAGAAAATACTTCTAAAAGACAAAAGTATCGGAGTCTCAGCAAGTGTGAAGTAGGAGACGTGACTTTGATTTGGGATTTGCATCTGGCCTCAGGAGGAAGTCAGTGCGGAGTGTCCTGTGATGGCGAGAATACTTCCCATGTGCACATTTGCTCCAGCATTGGGCGCGCAGTCGGTGATCATTACATCATTATCGATTGATTGAAATATCAGCATAGTCACCTGTCTTAAGCCCGTGTCATTCTTCTGCACTGTTGTGACTGTGTGGTCACCAGGGCGCCCCTGGGCTGCTGCAGAATGCAGCGTTTCCTGGGGTGGAAGTGAAGGCCGTTTCCCTCAAGAGAAAGTGCATTTGCTGAGGGTTGGGGGTGGATTTGCTCCCCTTCTTCACCTCAGGGGAGAGGAGGGCTGTGTTTATATCCCTGCTGCTTTCTTCCCAGAAAATGTCGGCATCCTTCTGTTCTCAGATTGCTGTGGAAGCATCGGCCATCTGGTTTGAGACCTTTGTCAAAGAGTCTGTACCCATGGACAGTGCAGGTCCCTTAGTGTCAGGATCTCGGGGTTGGTTTACAGAGTGACTGTGCAGACCCCAGCCACTGCAGTACTTAGCCGCGTTAATGCATGTGCCCTGGGAAACAGCAGTGAGTTGCCGAGTCTCACCCGCTGATGAAGCTTCTCAGTCCAGTAACACAGTCAAGTTCCTGGTGAATTCAGGATGTCGTGGCAAAGGTGCCATCCCGGGCCTTTTTTAATGACATTCACTGTTGATGGTAAATTGTTCAGAGGTAAACCAGCTTGAAAATGCTCTCGTTACTTTAAATACAGTCTGTATCCCACTGAGTGTTTGTTACCACAGATCTTAAGAAGTGCTGTCAGTGCGTTGATGTTATTTTGCTTTATTGAGAAGGTCACAGCGACCAGATGGTGCTTTCTGTTTGGTTGGTTGGTTTTGTTTGGTTTGGTTTTGTTTTGTTTTGTTTTGTTTTGTTGAGATACAGTGTCACTCTGTCTCCCAGGTTGGAGTGCAGTAATGCGATCTCAGCTCACTACAACCTGTGCCTCCTGGGTTCAAGCAATTCTCCTGCCTCAGCCTTCCCAGTACCTGGGATTATAGGCGCACATCACCACAGCCAGCTAATTTTTGTATTTTTAGTAGAGATAGGGTTTCACCATGTTGGCCAGGCTGGTCTTAAACTCCTGACCTCAGGTGATTTGCCCACCTCAGCCTCCCAAAGTGCTGAGATTATAGGCATGTGCCACCATGCCTGACCAAGACGAGGCATTTTTATTTGCTCGCATACACAGCACTGGTCCCACTAGTGACAAATGGTGTATGTCTGAACCCAGGAGGAATAAACCAGGATCAGTCTGTGTGTCTTGTGTTCATGCAACTTTCTTTGTGGCTGGGTTTCCTACCTGAAACCATCTGCCTTGTTTTAGAAATTGAGAAATCAAAGCGTTGAAGTGAGTAACCTCCTATAGAACCAGAGCCTCACAACCCCAGTTCACTTATTTATTCATTTATTTATTTATGAGTCAGAGTCTTACTCTGTCACCCAGGCTGCAGTGCAGTGGTGCAATCTCAGCTCACTGCGACCTCGGACTCCCAAGTTCAAGCAATTCTCCTGCTTCAGCCTTCCCAGTAGCTGGGACTACGGGTGCTTGCCACCATGCCCAGCTAATTTTTGTATTTTTAACAGAGACAGGGTTTCACCATGTTGGCCAGGCTGGTCTCGAACTTCTGACCTCAAGCGATCCACCTACCTTGGCCTTCCAAAGTGTTAAGATTACCGGCTTAATCTCAGTAATCCCAGTGGCTGGCTTAAAGCCACGGAACCTGGCCCCCAGTTCCCACTTTTAGAGATGCACCTGTCATTGTAAATGAATGCTCCCACCCCAGTTGAAATCCTGAAGTCCTTGGCAGGTGTTGCTGGTGGCTTTCAGGGACAGTGTGGTCAGGTGAGACACCAAGGCCCCACAAGCACTCGAAGGGAGCCTACAGAGTTGGAAATAAGCCCTTTGATTTCACTGAAAGTAAAACAAGTCTAACTTGGACTTGTTCCTTATTCGTGATCGTTTTTGCTCAAAGCCATAGTCTAAGAAAATACTATGATCTATTGCAAAATCATTTTCATTCAAGAAAGCTTTGAGCCTCCTCAGTAAAAGTCCACCAGCCACATGGGTGTCATTCCCGGGCCCCTCCTGAGTCTCAAGGTTCTTACTGCCTTCAGAGGGAAGATTTACATTTGGCCATGTGGAAAAAGAGGAATGCATAGGAAAAATCAGTCCGCGTGGCCAGTGCCTGCATACTTGCTCCATAAAGAATGTGGAGGTGCCTCCTTCTCGGTGACTGAAAACTCATAAACCTCAGCAGCACATTTGCAAGTCAACTTGCCTCTCGGCTGTTTCAGGTCACAAGTCAGCACCTGCTTGCTGGTCACCGATGCCAGAAGCCAGCACAGGGTCCGCCTCCCACACAAGCTGCCGGGCATGCACTACAGTGCCGACGAGCAGTGCCAGATCCTGTTCGGCACCAACGCCACCTTCTGCAGAAACAAGGAGGTAAGCAGCCATGGGAGGGCCGGCTCGGGACAGAGCTTAGGTCCAGCCCTCCTGCAGCAGGTCTGGCTTCTGCTGGAGGACGTGGGCATTCACACTCAGCACATGCACCCACACGCACACAGTAAATGCACACAGACAATCACACACAGAGCCAGGCATAAACACATTCTCACAGGCACCTGCACACACAGTTGCAGACACACATCTCCACACAGTCCCCGACATGGGCACTTTTGCAGGGGAGTGCTTCAGGGTTACTACTGACTCCGGTAGCCTGACATTTTAGTATGGAAACCTTAGGACACTGGAGGTGTAGGACACCGTCCCCTGACTTCAAACCCTGCGTGGATAAGGAAGAGAGTTAAAACTATTAAACATTTGAGAGTATCAAATTGGGAAAATTTAACAAGTAATAAATTGGCCAGGCACAGTGGCTCACACCTGTAATCCCAGTACTTTGAGAGGCAAAGGCAGGTGGATCATGAGGTCAGGAGTTCAAGAATAGCCTGGCCAAGATGGTGAAACCGCATCTCTACTAAAAATACAAAAATTAGCCATGTTTGGTGGCGGGCACCTGTAATCCCAGCTGCTCAGGAGGCTGAGGCAGAGAATTGCTTGAACCCAGGAGGTGGAGGTGGCAGTGAGCCGAGATTGCACCACTGCACTCTAGCCTGGGTGAGAGAGTGAGACTCCATCTCAAAAAAACAAAAAAAAAAGGTAATAAATGTATTTTATGGTTATAACCCCATTAAAACAGTTACCGCTTTTTGAGCGATGCCTATGTGTTTGGTACTAATGCTTCCAACATGCGTGATCCCAGTTAGTCTTCACCATAACTCCCGAGAGTCCACCCCTGGTTCCCGGATGACACCACCACCACGCCAAAGTAAGCGAACATTGAGAATGGCTTGGTTAGTAGGTAGCAGAGCAAGGATTTGAACTCAAGCCTCTTTCACCCCCAAGTGCACACTTTTTCACCATGATGCAAACAGCAAGGTCCACAGCTTGACTGGTTTTATGGGTGGGGGTTGCCAAGAGGGTCATGTGGGTACCCGGGGCAGGGCAGTCTCCATGCCTATGGCCGTCTGTGTAGCAGACAGGGAAGGCCCTGGCCACAGGGAGAGACCAGGAGCCCATGGTCCAGCTGGCCCCGGCAGTGACTGGGCTAGGGGAGCATAGCCTGCGCCATCCTGCGGAACAGGACGGAAGTAGAGCCAGGTCGGGGTACGTGCGCCTCAGCAGCCAGGCAGCGGGTGGTCAGCCAGAGGGAGGGCTGTTCCGGAACCGGTGCTCAGAATCACACCTGGTCCCCAGGAGGATGTGTGGACGGCTGGGCAGGTTTCTGAAGCCAGCACTCGGAGCAGCACCGAGGCACACAGGTACACACAGGGTTGCCTCCAGAATGCAGTCCCAGTGCCCTTTAGCCCAGATTGCTGGAGACAGACGCTGCCTCTTGAGTGCTTCCTGTCTACATGTGTGTTACTTTAGGAGACTGGGACACAACCTGCAGGTGGGGCATCGCCGGCCATTTTGGGGGTACATAAAAGAGCAGCTTCGCAAAGCCAGGCGGTTGCCTCCTCCTGGCTGTTTCCCCAAAGGACGTTTCCCCGCACTGTAGTACTGATTCTTCCCTGCCTTCCCCTGGGGAACATGCCTGCCAGGGTCCCCTCCAGAGACTGATGGGAAGCTGTCACCCATGTCAGTGCCCCACTGGCTGCCTGTACCTCCTGCCCCAGCAGTAGGGTTGAAGGACACCTCCATGGGGAGGTATAATGAGCCCTAGGATGGGATCACCCCCAGCATCCTGCAGCGGTGCCCAGACTCCTTCAGCCGCCACGTGGCTTGACCGCTAAGTCTCTCGTGCGCATACACAGTGCCTGCCAAGGGGCTTCCTGTCTGCCTGTCCCATACAGTGCATGGACGGTGCAGAGATGCCAGGAAAGAGCAGGTTTCAGGGCGTCCCTTGATGGTGTGGAGACCACATGGGATCGTGTGGATGGGATAACCAGGGAGGACTTAAGGCAGAGAAAAGGGCCCCAGACACCAGGGTGGGGAAGTAGATAGTGTCCAGCTGAGCCAAGGGGCAGAGTGATCCCTCTGCCCACTGTGGAGTCCTCCCCAGGGCCGGTGAGATGTGGCACGCCAGGCTGAGCGGGTCCTACAGGCAGGATGAGGTGGGGCGGGGGCTGGGCAGAGACCGCCTGCTCCCTGAGAGCCGGAGCGATTTTCCTTTCTAGGAGCCAAGCCCTTGCATCCCAGTTGGACTAGGAGGGACCGAAGGAGGGAGACACGTGTACTGGGTGCCCACGGTCTCCCAGGCTGGGCTTTGTCCTGGCAGTGTCACACACAACCCTGACTGCAACCCCGAAGGCAAGGGTTTTCAACCCCACTCTAACAGATGAGAATGTAGAAGCTAAGAGAGATTAGGAAACAAGCCAGGTTCACCCAGCTGGAAAGCGGGGGGCTAGAAAGCAGGCCAAGGTGTATCTGTTCCTGAGGGAGGAAAGGAAAGCTCCTGTCATTCAGAGACCCCAGAGAGGAGGGAGGGGATGTGGTATTTTATTTTCCTTCAGAATCATCTTTTTATTAGAAGAATTCAGTTAGAAAGCAGCGAGCATTGATTAGCTCCGCTTTGTGGCTCCTTTCTCCCTAGAAGCTCGAAATCCAAATGCATATCTAGTGAGATCTTCCCATGGGCAGGTTACAGGGAGGCTGGGCATTTCGTTCTGGGCTCCGTAGCAACTGCAAACTGTGTCTTCCTACTTGCTTTCGCCTTGAGGGTTTCACAACAGTGAAATAAATGTGTGTTTTCCTCTCCAGTAACTCGCAGAAGTGATTTCTTAGGGGAATGATGGAATGACAGTCCCCTTGATGGCGAGCAGTCTCAGCTGGTCAGTGGTGACTGTCCTGCTTGCAAGGCTAGGGACACTTCCTTTAGAGGAATCTGACTGTGAGGTCGCAGTGACCGTGCACACTGGAGAAAATGTCACACTCATACACTTTTGCACTACTGAGGAAGAAAATGCAGAGGACTGGACGCGTCCCTGTGAACCCTTTGAGAACCAAGGCCTTGAGGGCCTGCTCCCCTGGGCCTGGGACGTGTGTCAGTTAAGTCCAGGTGAAGACAGTGCCACACTCTAGGGCTCCAGGGCCTGCTGTGTCACCAGTCTGCACCATCCCTGCCTTTGTAGGACTGTTGCGGCTGATGCTGGGTATGGCAGGAGAGCGCACGCATGCTGTTGTCCCTTCATTCTTCCCTGCAGTGCGCCTTGTTGGTGTGGGTGTGTGCCCCTCCCTGCTTCCTTCTGGGCCTCTTCCTGACCTGCACTTCCTCTGTTCCAGCTGTACTGGTTTTTCTGTTCTTCTTGGACCCCACCGGGGAGCACTGGCTTCATGCTGGCTGTTTCCTCCGCCCCGCCAGTCTTCTCCCAGTCATCCGCATGACTGACTCCCTCATCTCTTTTGAATTCTGTTTATGTTTTTTAATGTAAGCTTCTCAACGAGGCTACCCTGACCACCCTTCTTTAAGCTGACAGTCCGGTACCCTCTGCACACCTGTGCAGCATCCGCCTCTCCTAATTCATTAAAGGAAAGCCCTGCTTTCAGACACTTACCCTCTTTCAATGTGCTCTGTAGCTCACCTGCTGAGTACAGCTATTCCTGTGTCTCTCTCTTCTAGATTACAAACCCTTCCAGAGCAGCAGTCTTTGCTCCTGCTCACCAGTGTTTCTGAACTGCCTTGGGCAGTACATAGTAGGTGCTCAATAAGCATGTGTTGTGCTGAGATCCAGCCATGACCCTAACAGCAGATTTGTTAAGCCTTCCTTATGTGGCTTTGCTCAGTTGTTAATGAACCTGTGGAAAAGCTCAGATTTGAGGAAGAGTCCTTAGAGACCTGCTTCTGCGTTGGATTACTCTGTAAGCCTGATTTCACCTTTCTCAGTCTGGCGGTCTGGCTCGCCAAGATAACATGTAAGACCTTGTCAGTTGTCTTGCAGGGGTTCATATAAACCATTTCCATAGCTTCCTGCCATAACAAGAAGCCATTCAAGGCCCTGCAGAGAGTCTGGCAGTGAGGGACATGCCAGCTGGTTCCTAGAGATCGTCTCTCTCTATGCCTTAGAGTCTTCATTAGTAAAACTCAGGCTTCTGGGCAGTTGATACATGACAAGTGTGGGGAACTGGGTCTGTCATAAGGTTGGTGCCCAATAGAGTGAGCTGGTATCTTTGTTACTACCTTTCTGGATAACACTGATTCCCATCCATGGTGGGGAACAGAGCTAATTTACCTGTACATCGCCAGGATCAGTATTGCTCTATACTGAACTCCTGGGAGCTGTGGAAAATTAAGCATCATCTAAAACCTGTCCTGTTCATTCAGCCAGAGACACCAGGGCCAATAAGGAGGATCTTTTAATCCAGTGCCGTAATTGACTTTGAGAGCCATTATTTTTCTTTCATGCCCCTGCAGACTGAAATGGATAGTATGTAATGAAATGATCACCATCCTAAAGTTGCTTTTAAATTTCTTAGCCAACTTTTTTTGCTTTCAGCTAAGAGGGAATAACAAGGGTCTGATTTACTTCAGAAACAACTGAAAAAAAAAAACCATAAAATTTATGAAACAGTGATTTCCAAGACACTGGACATCAAGGAACAAAGTCTTGTGATCCTTGAGAGATGCGAAATAAGTAAGGTGAGTCCTGTGATTGTCCTGGCCTGTGGCCCGGACAGTCTCCAGTGAGTTGCACGGAGAGGGAGAGCTGCAGAGGAGCAGCTCTGAGTCCTCCTGGGTTGAGGAAACACAGCTGGTTGTACAGGGAAGCCAAGGCAACTAGAGATCACGAGGCAGAGGACCACAGAAGAGCGAGCTAGCTGTGGAGAGAACTGGGAAGTCTGCAGTATCCCCTACGATCATTCAGCTTAGTGCTCAGCACAGGTGTGTGGAAAACTACCCAAAACCAGGAAAAGAGCCATCTAAAAGAGTTAGAGGGAAGACT